CAGCCACCTGTCTATGGTTTTGGCAAGTCCGCCAGTTTGCCTGGAGAGATGGAAGTTGAGGTCGAGACTGTGGAGATGCAGGAAGACTTTTTTGGCGATCTGCCTGATGCTGTTCTGCGCGACCTTAGCGAACACAGCGTTGCGCAGCTCGTTGAAACCTGCAGCCGTGACGCGTGCTGCGCCATCTGAGTTTAAAATGAGGTTCATCATTACTAAATATAACTCAGTACTCACTGCAGTGAGTGACAGGGAGCGCATTTTCTCGTCGACGAAAACGTGAAGTCACGGACAGACAGACGGACGGACATGACGAGCACAACAGGGCATTTTTTCCATAAATGAGAAAGTGCGCTAAAAGCAGTCGAAATTCTAGCATTTAGTTAACTTATTTGAACAGTCTATCATTTGCGATTAAACTTGGTTTCCCCATACACTGATTCTCAGTTAGTACTTCAGTGAAATATGTTACAGTGAGCCCAAAATAGAGAAGCGTCGGTGAAATAACACCTAATTTAAATAGGCTCTTCAGTGAAAATATTTTAAAATTTTTAACTAAAGAGCAGCAATAACACTTAATTTAAAAAGGCTGCATAAAATTTTCAAATTTTTACCTAAAGAACGGCAATAACACTTAATTTAAAAAGGCTGCATAATATTTTCAAATTTTTACCTAAAGAACGGCAATAACACTTAATTTAAAAAGTCTGCATAATATTTTCAAATTTTTACCTAAAGAATGGCGATAACACTTAATTAAAATAAGGCTGCATAATACTTTCAAATTTTTAACTAAATAACGGCGACAACACATAATTTAAAAAGGCTGCATAATACTTTCACATTTTTACCTAAAAAACGACGACAACACTTAATTTAAATAAGCATTTTACTCACAGCCGAGCATGAGTGCTGTGGCAGTAGTCAGCACTGCTTCAGGAGCCGTACTCATACCCAGGGCACCGCCCGTCTGGTCGTTCAGAAAGTTGACGGCGTCTTTAAAGATGAAGGGAACCTGCACGTTGACGAGCTTAGCCCCCACCAGGAGCGACATGGCACCCGTCACCCTCAACCGCACTTGTGCCTCACCCTACTGACGCAAGGCATAGACGGTAATACCTTCATAGTATTAGAGGGTAAAACCTTCATAGTATTAGAGGGTAAAACCTTCATAGTATTAGACGGTAATACCTTCATAGTATTAGAGTTAGACGGTAACACCTTCATAAGCAGCATCATGTCCGTAATCAGAAGCTATAGGGATAATAGATGTCAAAGATTATTAAAGTGAAGCAGTCAAAATACATGGAGTTCGAAACGTTCAAAAATCACAACTAAATCTTGATATACTGGATATGTTAAGGAAAATACTTAATTATCACCATACACAAGC